ACACACACACACACACACACACACACGCATATATACACACACACACATACAGATATTGATAGAGAGAGAGAGAGAAAGAGAGAGAGGGGGGTTGAGAGAGAGACAGGGAACGAGAGCGAGAAATAATCGGAAAGTAATAGAGGGAGAGAGAAGAGAGAGAGAAGAGAGGAGTGAGAGGGAGAGAGAGAGAGGGGGGGTGAGAGAGGGAGGGGTGAGCAGGAGAGACGAGAGAGAGAAGCAGAGAGAGAAGAGAGAGTGAGAGAGAGAGGTTGAGAAAGAAAGAGTGGGAAAGAGCGCATGTATGATACACACACAGATATATATATAATATATATATATATATATAATACTAATAGAATAGAGAGAGAGAGAGAGAGAGAGAGAGAGAGAGGAGAAGAAGAGAGGAGAGAGAGAGAGAGAGAGAGAGAGAGAGAGAGACGAGAGAGAGGAGAGACCTCCACCTAAAACAAAGCCAGTCACACACCATGTCCAACGCATGCCGTAGCTACCGACGCCATACGAGAAAACGATGTACGCTGAACGAAAAGAGACAGAGGAGAAGGGAAGAGAAAGATGAAATGAAGAGGGGGAGACGCAGCGTAACGCGGTGTGTGTGTGTGTGTTTGCGTGTCATTCCTCGCTCTCTTTCTTTGCGCGTTCAATATTGATTTTGTAGTTGTTTTTGCCTGTCGCTATATCGCCCGCCGTACCTACGGACAAACTCGACGTCCTGACCGCGACGATCCGTAACCTGCTGTATAACCGCAAGATATTTGTGTACGCATGTATCTCAGCAACACATTCAACCGTGTCCGATACTTGAATCTTACGTGTTTCTTTTACTGGATTAAACTAAGATTATTTACTAAATCAGGGGTGGCCCGGAAATATTATGTATGTATGTCTATAGCTCTCAAGACCACGTCGCTTTAATGAACGGATATAAATAATGATATAGATGAACGCGCCGCCATGAACACTCGCTATCTCTACCCTCTCGCGCTTTCTCGTATTCTGCTGAGGCGGCCATATTGGCGGCCGCCATGATTACGGAGCGAAAAAAAACCGTTTTGAACAGAAATGATTGGTGGCGATTGCGTTTGCGATGCTTTAGCACGAAGGCCTCTATGAAATATGCAGAGACGCTAAACGCAGCGTTTGTCTGCGCGTGGCGTCAGCTAAGCTTGGCGTTTAGCTTGCTCTCACGTATCAGTAGAGATGAAGTTGTCGGCTTCTCTTCAGTATAGATGGGTGCGCAGTCACGCATGCGCACTGATCATCGCATTCAGGCTCTTCCTCTCACTAAGTGTGTGTGCTGGGGGTGGGGGGCGTGTGTGTGTGTGCGCGCGCGTGTGTGTGTGAACGGGGAGGGTGATGCGTCTATACTCCCTACGAGGAAAACTAAAATATAATGGTAATGGTATGTACATAACCGTGTTCTAATGGACTAATGCATGCACCCCTTTGGGCGATCAATCGCACATGTTTAAACAACGCATATCAGATGTTGAACGTCGACACGTGCTCGTCCATGAGTGCGCGTTCGCGCATGCGTGCGTGCGTGTGATCCAGGATGCATATTTGTCACAAATCTTTTTAAACAGGGGCCAGCATCGACGTAATAAAGGCAAATACCAGTGGATGCTGTTAATATTTTTCACTTCCTGTGCCAAACAACGCGGGCACACAAGTCTCGTAAAAAAACTGTGAGAAATGGCGAGCCCATCCACTCGCGTCACTGGGAAGCAGAATGTTCAGACTGCACGCGATGAAACGTCTGCCGTTTCGCACCTTGTATGAAAATATTCAGGAAGTCTCATAGTCACGAACGAACGTGTATGGCTGGTTCTAAAATTTCGTTTGAGAATCTACTAAGTTGGAATTTCATCGGGGGGAATGTGATGTACGAACATACACCCTTACTTCCTCCACCACCACACTCACCACACGCCCTAACCCTACCACCACCACACTCATCACACGCCCTAACCATACCACCACCACACTCACCACACGCCCTAACCCTACCACCACCACACTCACCACACGCCCTAACCCTACCACCACCACACTCACCACACACCCTAACTCCCTCCACTACCACACTCACCACACACCCTAACTGCCCACACCACTACATTCACCACACATCCCAACCCCACCACCACCAGTACATTCACAACACATTCGTCAGCGTAGCCGCGGTTGAGTCGAGCGAGAATCTCTCACGTCAAGGTGACATCACGGCATGTTAGCGCTGCGTCATCGTAAACAGATTGCTCTCCATCTCATCGCTGCATCTCGCGCGGAAAGCCGGCGAAAACACGCCGCTATAGCGTTTCGTATCGCATTACAGCGGGAATAGAACGCGTAGCAATGCGAAGTTTGCCGTTATTTTCGGTTGTCGAAACACTATAGATAACGACCTGTCACGTAACGTGCGTTTATGCATGTACGTCGTCATGGACGCGGATGCTACCACCTCCCTTTGTGATTTTTAATTCAACGTGGTTTCTTCGACGGCTGGTCGATTGTGAACCTATATGATTACGCGCGTTAACTAACCTAACCTTGTAACGCAACTAACCTAATAAGCTTGTTTCGCCAGCGGCTTTTATTACGAAAATAATTTGTTTACAAAAAGCGGGTCAAAAATGAAATAGAGCGCGAGAAAAAATGCGTACGATTTTTTATTACGTTCACGCGGTAGCTCGCGATTGCCCCGTTTTTACGCGTGAAAAAGTACTTGTTTTGCACGTTCAGTCTTACGATGCCCCAAGGATGCAGGACGAACATGTCGTATGGTATCTTAATGATATCACCGTGGCCGATCGTTGAAAGATGAGTGAAAGCAATAAAACATCAGCTATATAGGCACAATAGCGACGTCGTCATGAAAACACGGGGTTTCTTCACCGCTGTCGACAGATAACCCGAGTAATCTTGCCACGTTTACGCACGGCTAATGCTCATGCGCAGCGCTGCAATTCGGTACGTGCTCCTAGCATGAAGACTAGCCGACCGCAGAAAGAGAGAGAGAGAGAGAGAGAGAGAGAGAGAGAGAGAGAGTCCGTGACATTGTTAGTAGAGGCATGTATTATCATAACACTGCCACGCGGGATTCGAACGCGGGATTCGAAACGTGACGATGAAAATCGGTGTTTTGCATACTTTTTCAATGAAGGATTTTTGTTATACATCCACACTACAGAAAACACATAACATACACATAAACGAACAGATATTGACATGTCTGTAGTAACGAATAGTATTGCGGTGAATTGTGGTGACCTTTGAAAAGATATACGTCGATTCTTTCAGATAATTATTAAGATAAAGTTACAAAATTCGGGAATTTTTTTGATGACCATAGCTGCAATTTGTTTTTCGCCTTCACTAATTAAGTCTATAATTATACCTCAGTGATAATTACGTGCAATGTTTAGTTTGCCTCTGTTATTCACACACGCGCGCACCCCCCCTTCATATATATATATATATCAGGTATATATATAACTATTATATATGTATTATTTCATTTAATTGATATGTTATTATTTTTGTGTTATTAGTATAGAAATGTGTATAGAGATTGATCGATATTTGCGTAGCGAATTTAGAATCTCTCGCAATCGCTATATCAACATCATGTAGAAGTCAATGAGATACAAGAAACACGTGACTTAAAACAACCGTAAATGTCTATGGTATTTATTTCGATTTCGCTAAACAGGCCGCAATGTGCGCGCGTGCGCGTGCCTGCGGCGTGCGATCGCCGCTAGGGGGCGGGCTGAACCGCGGACGCGTACGCTCAGATGGCCGGTCTGTATATACGACAAGTACTAATTTATAAGTACTAATTACAAGTACTAATTAGTAACTACGTGCAGCGTGGAAAGCGTGAAAGCGTCTCTGCTGAGCATAAGTGTGCTAAGTGGATACAGGGAAATCTAACCGAGCTGCAGCGTTAATTAACCAACAGTGCCGTGCATACTAACTACATCGTGCGACGGAATTATTATTCACAGTCAAACATGATGGCTCGTGGTGCGCAAATTGTTTGCGTGTCTGCGATAGTGTGTCGGCAGAAACGTGCGCGCGGACGTCACAAGCCATGCTGGACTGTGGAACGAGCGAAATACGTTTATACACTAGACATCGAGCAAGGTCGAAAAAAGGGAGGGAGCTAACACACAAGCACTGCTGCATTGTAGGATTAGTTCTGCACTAAAGTAATCGTAAGCGAGTAAAGAGATTTTGCCGATAGGCGTCAAACGATTCGGTTAACTGATAGAGTAAACATGAATATTAATCAACAATAGCACAACGCGCCCGCCTACATTTGAGCGAATAGATCTTTACACATATATGTATACGATAGTTAAATAACCATTCGAATAGTTTTGAATTAAAAAAAATAAATATTCACTACCAGTGACTGGCCGGCACAGCAACCTGGCAGTACGTGCGTTAGTCGCTTTCGCGGATCTGGCACGATGGGGATTTTCGCAATTTAAAACAGCGGCCGTATTTGTTTGTTGAGTGAGTGTGAACTACACCGGTCCTGTATCATGTAGCTAGCCTTATGGATAAGTAAGCGATCGCATGACCCAATAGAACACAAAAGTTTGACGCTAGCTTCTTCGTCTCGTCAATTCATCTTATAGTAAAATAGGTTATTTTACCAAATTCTTCGCATCGGACAAAAAGGGGCGGCACTGGAAACGTTTTCGACAGTACATTGCAGCGATACAGACTCGTACCGGTATGTTTCATTGAAGAGCCTCGCGATTTCATGCAACTAGCAGCCTACTCCCGCGTCCTAAATGGATTTGATATTCGCGGTCCCCTAGTGACCCAATGACGCGCGTCGATTCTACTCGGAATTCGTCCCGGAAGTGACGCGATGCGCGCCATCTGACGAGCGATAAATGGAATTATCTTTTGCCATTAATGAGACTATCGTCGTCGTCGTTAGTGTTGTCGTCTCTCCCTAGCCGTAGGTCGCTCAGATCGCTGGTGACTAGTTTCGGTGAATCTTGCTGTGAATGTGGGCCTCCGAGTTTTACTTTTAGGTGGAAATTCTCTACAGTTGTGAGCAAGCGTTAATGTCGTCCCAATGCTCTCAAACCTCACTTCCGGCCACCGAAGCAGGATATAGGATTGACCTGCAAGAAAATAATTATTTAAAAAGTGCCTGCAGTGCCTCTGACGAATTCAGCGGTTGAGACAAATGCAAAAAAATTGTATATGTACTCGGGTTGAAAAGTATTAGGACGCCGAGGTGAACTGTTCGTGAGTGAATAAGCGTCCGTTCGCATTTTTGTGAATCAAAACATGCGAATTTGCAAACAAACATTATGAATTAAATGTATGAAAACTGAATAACGAAATCAATTAAATCGATTAAATCGTAATGACTTTATTAAAAAATGTTCTTATATAATTACAATTTAAAAAAACGTATATTGCAGTGAAAAAAATCGAAGAAATAATTGAAGCTACGTATAAAAAACCATTGACAAGCAACGAACATTTCCCCCTGCAGCTGTTCATTTGTTGGATGACGATATTTGGATTCAGCTGCAGTGCATTCACAGTCTAACTTTCACAGACAAACCACTCAGGCAAAATAAAATGGAAAATAATCAGCCAATTCACTCAAATAAACATGTGAAATATACCAAATAAGATAAGATAAACAATAATATATGGGGAAAATCCTAGTACAATAATAACAGAGTTGCAAAAGGTACAGGCAAAGTCCGGCAAATCGCTCCGGGCTGTTGAATGGCAGCTACCCATCATATGAGCGACACCGTGGTTCAGCCAGAACAACATGGCCTTACGACCACGACACCAAACATTACATCATTACAATAGCTCACTCTTCACTCTTCATGCTCCACGCACTAGGGAGGGGCGGTCACTGTGTGTGGGAGCATGCGGGCGGTGTGGCCATCGACTCTAGGTTCCAACGATCGTTAAACGTCTCGCGATAGCGTCAGAGAAAACCGAGCACGAACAAAGACCGCGTGTGGACACCTTCTCAACTTACAAACATCGACCTTCGAAAGCAAAATCGAAGCTGACACGCGACGGGACATACTTCCCGTGACGCCGGGTTCGCTGTGACGTCGCAAATTTCGCGTACCGCGTGACGCGTTTGCAGTGACGTCGCAAATTTACTGCGTGACACAATTTCTATGGTTTTTACAGATGTTTGTTCGTCGCTAGGTTTCTCGGTTCGCTTCGCGCAGACGCCTCTAGGCAAACCACACTAATACGATAGACCACGAGGCCGTGGCGCAAACAGGTACCCCCATAATGCATTCTGCTAACGCCACCAAGATGTTGGCGATCTTCCGTCCGGCCGCGTTTGCCTGCCACCGAAACACGAAATCGGGTTCACCTGGAAAAGAAGTGATCGTGTGGGGGGAGCTATTGTGCACGTGAGTGGGCGGGTGGGCAAGCGCGTGCGTGGTGAGCAAATGCAGTGCGTCGACTCATGCGTGCCATATGGCGCGAGTTGGTTTTGGCGACGCCGTGGTGAATACAATACCGCGAGAGAAAACTTCAAAGTGAGACGCGAAGATGCGTGATGACTGCGTAGCGGCAACTCGAGCCGGCGTATATCGACACCGCGATTTACGAGACACCACGTACGTATAGGCCTATATTACGTCGGCGCCTGTCACTCCACGTAGAGAGACGCGCGTGCGTGCGTACATGCATTCATGCCTGCTATACGCTAGGGGCTGCCCAGTCGGCTCTCAGTACTACCCTGTCCGCGTACATCACCGGCCATGCAATCCTACCATCGCTAACAACGAAATCCTCGATCTCTTCACAATGCCTACGTGCGCTACCCCCCCCCCCACCACCTTCCCCAGAGAGAGACTTCTGGGAGATAATACCGGCCCTAAGCGTTGCCAGCGAACCTGCCTTCCCCCTGGCAACGAGCGAGCTTCGTTATTAGCAACGCTGCAAACGTGAAGACACGGTGCAAGGTGTCCCGACTGTCGCTGTCCGTATAAAAGGTGACAGAGTAAAAGACACGGCGCCGAGCTGAATCGAGCGTGGGATGACGTCATTGTATAATTAATTATTCACGAAATAATGGCGTTCCACGTCCGCGTTTGTCGATCCGCACGTGCATTTACCCTGATCGCTGAGACGTGCGAGGGCGTGTGTGCGCAGAGTTAACAAAGAGCGAACGCAGAGAAGAAGGCAACAAAGATTAAATCTGCCGTGACTGTTTAATTAGGCATGCGTGAATGGGCGTTTAATAAATAGTCGAAGCGCGATACGCCAGTTGTTTGCATGCAGACACAGGACCAATCTAAATTTGCATTCAACGATATGTTATGGAAGCACTATGCCCTGCTTCACGCGTTCGTCTCAAAACGAAATTCCCAATGAATATTTTGCAGTCACTATTCTAATGCCATGTATATGCAAATAAACTACGCGAAGCCATTGCAATGCATTTATTCATCGGGAATTCATCATCAACACTCATTGTTCCCGCATATTCTAAACTAACAAGTAATAAATTTAGCCGTGAACTCTCGCATCACAACATCTCTGTATGTATTACTGTTGCTATATGCACTAATTCATATTCTAAATCTACATGCTAGCAGAAGGGACGCGTGCTTCGAGTAAATATCGCTAAGCGGTGAGCGCTACGCCAACGTGCATGCGTAACATTATGTGTTGCAACTTTTACTCTCACTCTAACAGGTATACCGAGTGTTAAGTCGCACGAACCGGAACTGCGACAACTAACCTGACATTTGCGGAAGTAGTCGCGCTTCTGCGCTAGGTGGCCCATGTCGCTGTTTTCCGCCATTGCTCTCGCGATCTGGTTGTCAATAAGATCGAGCAGCAGACGGTAGGAGTCAGGACTCGAGAGCAGCTAGAAGGGAATTAACACACTAGATATTAGCGAACACTATACATAGTATTATTATAATTATTCTTATCTTCAATCGCCACATATGCAACGAGTATATATATATATATATATGTGCTCGTCGATATTAAAATTTGTGTACGCGCATACACGCAATAAAAGACGGGTAGTATTGCGTATTTGTACTGCGCGGTCACTCTCACGTGCCATCCGTGGATATTGAGGTTTGATCAGAAGGCTGATCTATTTAGATTGCTCTCCCAGTGTCGCGAATATCGAAGACGCCTTTTCAAAATAACTGGGAAACCAATGTTTGTTTGTGTGCCTGGACACTTCATCCCAAGTGTCCTCATCTGCTAGTTCTCGGCGTTCACGGAGTGATATCTATTGTATGATCGTATATACTACTCGTGTTTCGGTCCTCCTTTGCACGCGCTCAGCACAGCCACTATAGCACACCAACAAGCAAACAAACGCACGTGCACTCCCACACACACACGCTCACGCACGCACAAATATGCACACGAGCGTGCACGCGCACGCACGCACGCCTACAGACTAACGCACACAGAAACATATATATATGTAGACAGAGAGAGAGAAAAAGAGAGAGAGAGAGAGAGAGAGAGAGAGAGAGAGAGAGAGAGAGACGCCTAGAATATTAGCGAACACTATTACATAGTATTATTATAATTATTCTTATCTCCAAATCGCCACATATGCAAACGAAGTTTATATATATTATATATATTATAGTATATATATATATATATATATATATATGTGCTCTCGATCATATTAAAATTTGTAGACGCGCATCACGCAATCAATAAGACGGTAGTATTCGCGTATGCTTGTACTGCGCGGTCACTCACAGTGCCATCTGCGTGGATATTGAGGTTTGATAGAAGGCTGATCTATTTAGATGCTCTCCAGTGTCTGCGATAATTCGCAAGGACCGCCTTTTCAAAATAACTGTGGTAAACCAATTTGTGTTTGTGTTGCCTGGACACTTCATCCCAAAGTGTCGCTCACTCGCGGTAGGTTGGCGGCGGTCACGGGTGATATCTATTGTAATGGATCGGTATATACTACTCGTGTTTGCGGTCCTCACTTTGCACGCGCTCGAAGCATCAGCATCTATAGCAACACCAACAAGCAACAACGCACGCGCATCCACACACACGCACGCTCACCGCACGCACAAATATGACACACGAGCGTGCACGCCCGGCACGCCAGCACTGCCACACAGACTAAACGCACGCAGAAACATATATATATGTAGACAGAGAGAGAGAGCAGGCTAAGAGAAGAGAGAAAGAGCAGAGAGAGATGAGAGAGAGAGAGAGAGCCGAGAGAGAGAATGAAAACACAGCGAACCACCCATGAAAATAAATGTAGAAAAATAGAATAGGGTGTTAAAATTTTGACAGTTAAATATTTTTTAAATGTTAAAATTTTAAAACACCCCTTTAAAAATTCTATTTTCGACATTCAATTTTTCACAGTATATATTATATATGTATATATATCAATAATAGTATATATAAGTATATAATATAATATATGATATTATTATAATATTTTATATATACGTAATATATCACTTCGGCATGTGTAATCATGTGGGATGATAGCGGTGTCGGCGGCACGTATTGTAGAATGTATGTTGCCCGTTGGCGTTCAAGCAGGCGTAGACTCGCGCTTGTGCTACTTCCGCTCGCTTGCGTGGAATTTAAGTGAAGACTGACGCGGTTCTTGGACCTCCGCGGTGCGTGTAGAGTTTGAACTGCCTCGCTTTCGCCACATGCACATTCGCTTATGTACGCTTACACGCCACGACGGCATCGCAAGCCGCACGCACGGCCACGCCCCCCCCCCACACACACAGTAGCACGCACGCACACACTGCGTCCACAGCTTGCCACGACACGCGACACAGAGTTGACAACTCCGAGCCGCCACTGAGATTGAGTATAGCAGCTACGGGGCCCGATTGTAATAGCCACTTTCTACATGTATAGTGCAGGTATGAATACTATATATAATATATATATGAGAGTGATAGCACGTGCGTGAGGTGGTCGCGGAGAGGCGTACCAGATGCCTATCTGCTGGCGCTTTTTCGTGCGCATACATAGCAACAAACGAGATTGCGTAAGCTGGCCGCTAAGTATAATATAACCCGTATAGGGACGTAAACGGTGTTTGTCGGCACAAAATTTGTCGGCGAACACGACAAAATCCTACAGACGGGCTCCTCTCGGTTGTTATAAGTTGCGCAAAGATGTGGTACAGTCTAGTTTCATCAGTATGTTAAGCCAGTAAGTGTGATATATTATATTATATATATATTTATATATATATATATATATATATATTATAATATTATATATATATATATATATAATATATATATATATATAGTATTATATAGTAGTCATTTAAGTAACTGAACAATTGTGTATATCGGATATACATGATTTCTAAACCACTCATCTCTCCACGCTTTGCTTAATAGCCTAGGTGCGCTTTCGTTTGATTTTTAGCACAAAATAATGCCGCGACGCGTCCAGTTCGTGAGCCGATATCTTTGCAGTCGATGCTGAAGCCGAACGTCCGCACGGCGACGCGAGCAGCAGACACAGAGCACTTCTCGTGCGAGCGCATATGCGCGTCGGCGACGTGTTTACACGCCCAGCCTATTAAGATAATACAGATCACACCTGCGTCGAGTGATTCGCGCGGTAACTTGATGGCGGTTCTGTATAGCGGAAGCCAACGACTCCGGATTTATGAGTTATAATGGTAACCCACCCACACACGCCGCGCGCGCTCTAAATTATGGCGAGCGATTCTGAATGCGCTTCGGCGCACCAGCGCATGCGCGTACCGACGAACCTGTAAATGGCATTCGTTTGCTGCCCGCCGCCGGTAAGGAAAATCGCGCGACGAAGCTGGCCCGTGGCTGCGGTAGCGGCCTGCTCACTTAGAGTTGACAACACGCATTAAACGTAATTGGGAAGTCAGAAACTGATAACCGTGTCCGAGCTATAGGTGAAGGAAATGAAAATTGCGGCAATGATGTTATCCACTTTTTTTTTTTTCCATTAGCGGCGAGTAAAGGATTTCGCGTGTTTGGCCGGTGACGTGGGCGCAGACGCGACGCTGATACCGGTGCTTGCGGGAAAGAGAGGACAGTGGCGTCACCAAGTTGGTTGCGGGGGGTGCGGAATGCACAGCCTGTTTGGCTAGCATCTATGCCAAATACTGACATACCCCATATGACGCTCTTTTTATGACACTGTTTGTCAATAAGGAAAGATTCTTCCTATGAACAAATATTGTTGTAATGTGTTGTGCGGACATCATAAGGAGTTTAGGAGCGCTATATGAACGCAAGCACTGATTTCAGCTGTAAAGCGGAAGAAGTTGACAGTCGCCAATATTCGCCAGGAAGAAATCTTCCTATGACAAATAGTGGTCATAGGAAAGGCGTATTATGCGTAAATGTCGCTATTTGTCATTAGATCAAGCGAACACTGGCTGGAATGTACCGGGGTTGACAACCATCACGAGGGGCCGTGATTTTAATTTTTCTAGTTTGTTTATGTCACTACATTGCCATTATATTCAGTCGATATAAGGGAATATACCATTTACAATAAAATTAAGTACAAAAAAACATTACTAAGGATTCAGTTACTGGTCCTGGTAGCGGGAAGAGATCCATGGGGGTGACCCAATGAGGTTACAAGCACCGTGTGACAGCAAACCCTATAGTGACGTCGCTGAGTGGGGAAGCTATCGAAGTTGTACGGGTTGCCGCAATATACACACTCGGGCTCCACGTTTGGCATGTGTTGTAGAGGAAAGTGGTGAGGGGTAATCCGGGTAATTTGGTGCTCCGTATAGAATCGAAATATTACGGAGATGTCGAATCGGGAGTGAGAGATGAAGAGATACAGTGAAGGGGCAAGAGATATAGCGGCGATATAGAGAGGAGTGAGCGAGAGGGAGAGAGAGGAGAGAGAGAGAAAGAAGAGAGAGAGCAGAGAGAGGAGCAGAGAGACAGACAGAACAGACAGAGAGAGAGAGAGAGAGAGAGAGAGAGAGAGAGAGAGAGAGAGAGAGAGACGAGAGAGAGGGAGAGAGGAGGAGCGAAAGAGACAGACAGACAGTCAGAGAAAAAGAGAGAGAAAGAGAGAGAGAGAGAGAAAGAGAGAAGAGAGAGAGAGAGAGAAGAGAGAGAGAGAGAAAGCAGAGAGAGAGAAGAGAAAGAGAGAGAGATTGGGGGAGGTAGGAGAGAAGAGAGGGAGACCATCAAAAGAGAGCTAAATAACGGCAACATCAGCACGGCGTCGGCAGAACGTTTTCAAATTGTGCACCGCAGATGGCGCGAAAATCGCCCCCCCCGGACCGATCTGCAAAAGAAACATCAAAGCGCCGAGCGGCGCGACACAGGACAAGATAAACGATCGCACGATGGTAAACTTTGTCGCCGCGACGGCCGAGATTAAGCGGCATCTTCTCGACGTCACGTGACATGCGGAGACGCGCGGAGATCTATAACGTATGAGCGGGTAATAGCGTCCTAGACGGCGCCATAGTTACAGCGTAAACGGCTACGGGCCGCGGTCCGCGCACCCGGTACGCGAAGACCGAGCTCGTTACCATAAGAGTGACGGAGTGTCGTAACTATGGGCTGCACGACCAGCACGTAGGCAGAAAGAGGGAGAGAGAGAGGAGAAGAGGTGATAAAGAGAGAGAGAGAGAGAGAAGAGAGAGAGAGAAGAGAGAGAGAGAGGAGAGAGAGAGAGAGAGAGAGAGAGGCGGAAAAGAGAGGTCACTCGTGAGTGAGGCGAAAGATACATGTAATGATATACATGATAATATATATATATATATATATAGTATATATATATAAGTATATATATATATATATTAGGTATAGGAGAGAGAGAGAGAGAGTGAGAGAGAGAGAGAGAGAGAGAAGAGAG